GGGGGGGGGGGGGGGGATCGTGCCACGAATTCTACGATGATAATAATAAATGCAAAGCGAGTATCTGCGAAAACTTTGGATACTGCTCGATAATTTTTTTCTCTCGAAACTTTCGATTCCACGCGATTTTGTATCCATATAAATTTCTCCAAATCGAGAAAATTTCCCTTTTTCGAATTCTTCTTTCTACTCTCCCCGAATCACTTTTTCGATAACTTACTTCTCGAGGAAAATTTAATAGTCGAAGTTATAAGAATAAAGTTACTTCGATAATTTATCGTTCGAAACAATAATAATAATAATAACAATCTTCAGTTGCGAACGATCGAAATTACATGGAAAATCGGTTCGACTGAACTAAACGAACGTTTTAATGAACGATAATTAATTTAAAGTAACTTTATTTTCTAACTTCTTTCATTGCCCAACTCTGCCATCCTCTATATTCTCATCGCTAAGATTTCGAACGTAGCGACTCTAATGAATTAATTTATATTTCGGAGAACCATGCGATCATCGCATCGAGCACACACTTCGCTTACCGGACGATGAAAAACGTTCGACAACGAGCTGTGGTTCGAGTGGGCGTACCTCAATAGTGCATCGCGCGAATTTGCTTAGGGAGGGTGTACGAAGGGGCGAGGGGAAAAAATCAATGCAACGCGGCCACGCGGAACGCGCGATCCACGTCCACGGATCGGAAGGAAAACCCTGTATCATCGACCCCCCGTTACATCCACCGACTTTTCCCCTCAAATACTCTAAAAAAGAAAAAGGAGGAAAAGAGGACGAAAACGAGTGCGTTTCTACTCACCGATCTTCGGTACGTTCCTGTCATGATTTGCCCCGATGGAGAACTGAAACAGAAAGAAGAGAAGTCGGGTTAAGCACGTGAGAAGCTATTTTTCTCTTTTCTTTTTTTTCTTCTTTTATTCTCGATCGTCGGGTAAATTTTATTTATATTTATCCCCTGTTGATGAATTTTGTGTTCGATCGGGAACGTCCTCTACCGAAATGGAGAACGGAAACTGTGGATTCTCCATCCTAGGAGGAGAAAATTTATCGGTTTCCCGACTTCCTCCCCGGATCAGGTATGATAAAATATATTTCTCGTCACGCCTCTCTCCTCCTCCTTTCCACCATCGTTATTTTCACATATTTGTTTGTATTTTATACGCGTGGTTTGATGAAATGTATCGGTAATAAAAGGGAATAAATTTCGCGTCCATTTTCAAAACTTTTCGCTCGTTAAAGCGGAGGAAAGGAAAGGAGGGAGAATTTCTATCGCGTAATTCCTGTTTCGAAGGTTCCATTTCTCTCTCTCTCTTTCTTTCTCAAAGAAAACGTATCCCTTGGGTGCATAAACCCAAGGAATTTATTCGAAGTGAATTTCCCTTCATCTAGAGAAATAGAAGGCTGTGGAAAAGGAATTTCGGAGTTGTGCGAAATTCCTTTCGGCCGTTTTCCACGGTGTCTTCTCGAAAGAGGAAGCCTCCTTCCGAGGAAAGAATCGTCGAGGATCGATCCACTAGCTTTTTCTATTCGAGCCAACCTCGGTTTCTCGCGCTCGAATCGCGACGAAAGTTTCTTTCCCCGGTGGAGAGAATTTTGTCCGTTCGACGATTGATCGTCGAAGAAGAATTTATAGTAATAAATGTTCCTCGTGGAAGACATAGGTGTTGTACGTGTACACGTTTCTAGATCGAATCGGGGGAATACTTTGTCCGTGATCACGCGTTGGAAATTTCTTTTTCGCGAGAAACTTTTTTTTTTTTCTCGAGGAATCGACGAGAGGAGGAAAGAAGGGTAAGTAGAACCGATAAGATATTGAGGTGAGGTGGAATTCGAAATAGCGGAGAAGGAATGAATTGAAGCTAGCGCCAAATTTCATCATTTGGATGGGAAATAAATTATCCATAAAAATGTTCGTGAGAATATCCAATCGAGCAAAGAACGTTCGTATACATTACTTATGGAACGGAATTGTGATTATCGATATCGTTACCGCGATCATGGCGAGATTAATAAATTTTTCGTATTCGTAAAATTGTAAGTATACGAATACGAATTCAAAATATCGTTAAGATAACACGAATAAAAAGTGGATATTGTAATAAAGTCCGTTTATTTTTATTTCAAGAAATTGTTGTACCTCCTACATACAATAATTTCGAATAAGAAAAAAAATAAAAGGCTCCAGTCAGTTTTATTTTCCGATAAATTATTTCGATGCTGTAATCGAGAAATGAAAAATTCTCAATGATCGATAATAAATAAATAAATAAATAAAAAAGAAAACTAATATCGATAATCGATAGTCACAATTACATTTGATTTTTTGAAAAAACAAACCAAAAGAAACATTATAAAAGATAATTCCTCTCCCTTAAAAAAAAAAAAATTGCAACGCATTTATCCTTCCGATTCAAACGATGCATCTTGTTCGATCTATATTGCAGCTTACGACCGACTTTACGACCTAGTAGCTTTCGCTTTAATATTTACGTTATACCCCTGCTATGAAATAATCCTGATTCTCTGATCTCCACGATAACGATGGAACAATGCCTCGACGGCGAAAACATTATGCGAAAACATTCGAAATAGCTTTTTCCCACCATCTTCGGCAATAAGAAAATGGTTTTTCCCAGACCGCGTTCATCATCCCCCTCGTATCGCTTATCGTTTCGTCTTCCTTCACCGAAAATACCGATCAAGCTGAATCCACTGATCAAGGATACTCCTATTTCCACGCTGTTTGTCACGTTTCTCGTATTCGAACCGTGAAGAGGTCGAGGAGGAGACCGATCGGGTTAAGACCGTCCATTTTTTCGTCTCAAGCCGGCGGTGATTGAAATCGTGATCCAGCGTCGGTGATAGGAATTTGCGAAAACAATAACAATGCCTGTTTAAATCTTCCTCTTCCTCGACGAATTTTCGAGGCTGTGTCGTTCGTAATAAACGTGTTGATATTGTAAGACTATTGGAAATGTTTTCCTTTTCCAATGTCGTTAGCTTGGAACGTTATTCGTCTTGGAAAGGTGATCGTTGTGCGCGGGAATAAAAGATGGCGAAAATATGGAATTTAAAATTTTTCGACGAATATTTCACCATTTTTCTTCCACGAATTTTCCATTGTTCGTTCCATATACTTTCGATGCACATTGCATCCCTCAAGTCCTTAATTGCGAAACCAATAGTTATTATTTATCTTTGTTCAATGGTAAATTCTGTTTCCACGTAAATATTTTGTCGATAAGCCAGAACAGAGACGAGAGAAAATTTCTCTCGTCGTTCCGCGTGTTAAATTTTTTTCCGATACTGGGCGACGATACTCGTTGTACGATGCAGCGGAGTTTCCAGTCGGAAGCAACTCGGAAGCAACCGCTGTTTACGCAGTTTAAAAAATTAATCATCGACGACCCTCGACTGCCACGACATCACGAGAATCGCGCTTATTATCTTCTTGGCCGCGATAACAAATGCGAGAAATTAGCAGAACCATTCGCGAAAGTGGCGTATCGATTAACGATACACGAGTTAATTCCTGATTAATAATTCCCCGACAGAATTTTCTCGTCCGATTTCGATTAATAAATCATGTCCCGTCGATGATTAATTAAACATCAACCTTGCGAATCGAATATACGCGCGTATACAACCTCTACTTTCAACCGTTTTTCTTCGCTACTCTTCGAAATTGTTGCCGCTGTGAACCGAATCGATATCATTAAGTATCTTCTTCAAATTTTATTTATATATAATTCATTCAGAATCACGCTATAAATAATAATTACTCGATATCCTTTATTTATAATAAAACTAATCCATTCGGAATATTGGCGAGTTTCCTTAACGAATATCGAATAATAATCTCGATTAATCGCAAATTATTATTACCAATCGTGAAAAAGGTTGTGAATGGAAGAAATTGATGGTACCGTTCGAGTTTAACCGATCGATCCATTCGCTCCTGCCTAGAGATAGTTGAACACACGGATAATTTGCAAATTTATTTATTTATCTCTCTTTTCTTCTTTAATCATCCATGTTATTTCCTTTTTTTTCGTGGAAATGAAAACACCGTCACGATCATCGAAAGAGTGAAAGAAAAAAAAAAAAAAATAGGAACTTGATCGTTTCAAGGAATTTATTACCTCCGACGATTCACCGACCGTTCGCAAACTTACCTTAGGCGTCGTTCTGCCGAGATTTATAGCCGTACCCAAATCGAATAAATTCTATTCCCATCGAGATTCGCTTGTTGCGATTTCTTAGATCCATTTCCACGTTTAGGGATTTGCATCTTGCCTTGCTATTCACGTGTTACCCCACCCATAGAGACAATCTACCGGTAGAATGGTATGAAACGTGTAATGCAACGCACAATTGGCGAACGGTCGCCGCTTCGCAACCGTCCTTTTGTTTTCCGCTCCGCTGCGTTTCGTATCGGACAGCTTTTCATACATGCGCGGCGAGTGTGTCGATAGATCGAGCGGATACTCGCAGAAATGCGGTTTATTCCGTGCGTACAGCTTTTCACGGGGATACCATTGTTCCCTTTGAGATCGAGACACGTCTCGATCGTTTCGATCTAGGCTTAATCTCTCGCTCGCCGATTCGTAATGGATTTTTAAGGAACGAGTCGAGAGAGAGAGAAAAAAAGAGAAAGAGAGAGAGAGAGAGAGGGAGAGAGAGAGCATTTAAATTTTGTAAATTTGTTCTTTTCTTTTCAAACACTTTTATCGTACGCATTGTCATGAAGAGGAGGAGAAGGAGGAATTACAAAAGGGATCAAAAATCGATCGACAAACACTGCGATAATCGACCTGTATTTGTACGATGTGTGCACAGATATTATTATAGATAATATTCTATCCACGATGTAACACGATTATAAACGCAATCTCCGAGTATCCATTCTATCTTTCTTTATCTGCCGATACATCGTATAAACTATTATAGTATATTAGAACGTTGAATGATTTACAAGCGTTCGTTTATCGAGCCGAGAGAGAGAGAGAGAGAGAGAGAGAGAGAGAGAGAGAGAGAGAGAGAGAGAGAGAGAGAGAGAGAGAGATGGGATAAAAGCGTTCAGATTCGCCGTGGATCGGTCGATTTCTGCAGTTGACAAAGAACATTTCTCTTTCTCGTCCCGTTGACACGTGAAATACGTTCCGCCTCGGGAAAATAGGAAAGAGACGAAAATGGGCGCCGGCTAGAAGGAATACTTCTAAAAGAGAGACACAGGAACGAGAAGGGAAACGAGATTCTCTCCGGTTAAGCGTCCCTTCTTCAAATGGATTCCTCCAAATAAAAATCACGAAAAGGGAAGAATCAAATAAGATACGAGTAATAATCGTTAAAATCCCCTTCTACAATGGCTTTGAGACTTGTCGCTTTAAATCCTTACCTATTAAAATTCCGCTAACTATAACGTAGATATACATATATAATCATCGTATATGGATAGTTGGATATGTATGGAGTGTGTTGATGGGTACGATCGATACATACAATGATTCTACAATGAAAAAATAATTGGGAAATATACGATAACAAAATTTGTTCCATTCGAAGTTTTGAATGGAATTGGCTATTTCTCGGGAATTTCTTTTTTTCAATCAAAAATCACTCTTCGAAAAAATTGAAATCTAACCGATCACACGATTCCTTAATCGTATACGTTTAATCTAGATTTCAGAAAATCAAAAGACAAACTTAACTCGTATCGTAAATCGAAAAACTGTCAACTTTTATTCGCCAAGTCCGTCATATTCAATAATCGAAACGATACAATTTTAAAAATCTACGATCGCCTCTTTACCATCTTTTAATTGCGTTTCTTCGAAAGTGT